AGAGGGTCATTTGTCTTGCTTTTGGTTCATAGTTTTGCAGAAATATCTGAGAAGTTCATGGCAGCTACAGAATTTTCTACAACGGAAATGTTGACAATCACTCCACAGATTACTTGAGTTTGCTATTTTGTTGCTGTTTTAATTAAAACAGTGATATCATGTCTTCCGTTAAAAATATCTCATAGTAGATATAACTTCCCCCTTGTATTGCCATAAATTGTTTTTCTCACTAAAATTTTCTGTGGTATATAGAACTTACCTCTTGGAGAAAAATGTCAGTCATTAAAGAAACATGATTGGAGATCTTGTTTCTCTCAGGAAGAAGTTAGAATGTTCCATGATTTCTCTAAGGTACTGAAAGACGAACCATTCACATGGATTAATTCCTAACTTTATCATAAATACTTTCTGTTTTGTGGAGGAGTTGCTTAATTCTTCCCCAGTTCAAAACTAACCTGACAGGACAACATTTGTCACATAATTCACAGATTGTGACTGTAAACAACAGATAAGGGTTGTTTTTGAACATCTGGAGAAGTGGTTAATTATAACTCTACCAATGTAATTTTTATTTCCAGGAGTGAAAGCTCACAGCTGGTCCTCAGGTAAGAAAAAGATATGTTTTTATTAACGATGATTATCACTGGAAAGAAAGTAGTGACCAGTGAAACATGGCATGCAGTGTCTCTCTTCTCAAATGCTAGGATGTGGGTCATGCTAGTTTTTCAGAGGCTGATACATGGAGATCTGGATAGAATTACATGGACCTGAAGAGCTCCTCAGAATTCCCCTGTGAGACTATTATAGCTCCCCAGCCCTTATTTTCTGGGGACGTCCTAATTAAAACACCTGTAGGGAACATAGTAGTTATGTTCATGTTTGTGACTTCTTGATTTTAAAAATGTTTGGATTATGAGTAAACACGTGGGGTGGTTTGCGAGTAGTTACCATTGTACTAACTGAAACATGGTGGACTCTAGGGAGAACTCAAATTCCTTAGGAAGAAAAAGTCAAAGCCCAACAAAATAAGTACAGGAAATAGGTACTTGCAAGGGGGGGTGGGGTGAAGGAGGGAGGAGTAGAAGAATGAAGGGAGGAGAATGCAATCAAGAATTCATACTATATTCTTTTGAACATATTTACTCCACAATATTTCTCTTCGTCTCCTCTCTTACTTTTTTCCAAATGTAATCAGTTCCATCTTTTATACTTGGGTCATTCATTTTGTTATCTGGGTCTAGAGTTTGCATATGAGAAATCTAGTACTTGTTTTTCACAGTATGGCTTATTGCTTTAATATGAAGTTTTCCAGTTCTATCTATTTTCTTGAAGATGATATGATTTTATTATTATGTGTGGCTAAATAGTATATCATTGTGCATATGTGTTTATATATATATATTACAATGTCTTTCTTCAATGGATGATTAAGGAACATGTAGGTTAATTCTGTAGTTATTTATGATTTTTTAAGTGGGAGAAGGAAGGATGGAAATAATGATGTTTGGAATGAGAAAAATGCTCTTTAGGCAGACACTCTAGTATTTGAAACATCCTCTCAGCTGCTCTTTCATTGGTATTTCAATAATGCATTGTATTTAAAAAATAAAATTTAATTACATTTGCAAAAAAAGAGAATTCATACTATATTCTACAAAATTAAGACAAGTCAGGGAAAGGGAATGATGAAATGGGTGGACACTGATCAAGATGGATCGTATTCACAAACTGCTTTGTTAGATATCAACTCTTTTGTATAACAACTAAATGTCTGAATTAATACATAATTTCCATATTACAAGACCATGTTTAACGGTTAAATCAGGTTAAATATGACTACCCATACAGTTAACATTTATTTATGACAAACAATTCAAAATCCTTTCTTTTGGCTACTAAAAGAGGTATGTAATTACTATTTTTAGTCACCCTACGGTGCAATAGCACACCAGAGCTTTTTTTTGCTAACTTACTGTGTTAGTGTTCATTGATCATCATTCTCAGTATTCCTTTCCCCATCTTCTTTGAAGACTTTGGTACTGCCCATTCTACTCCCAACTCCTAAGAATAAAATGTGAAAATCTGACATACTCTTGAGATAATTTATTGTCTTTCTAGCCTCTAAATTTTACTTTACATCAAAATTTCCCAAATTAAAAATGTTTCTTATGATGAATAGTAGTCTACTTTGTATATGTGCAACTTTTTATTTATCCATTCATGGATGGATAGTCGTTTTAATAGTTTTTATTCCTTAGGTATTGCGCACAGTTCTGTGAGTGTCATGAAGTGCAGATGTGCCTTTCACATATTGAACTCATTTGCCTTGAATTTATACTCAGAATCACTAATGTATCACAAAGTGGTTTTATCTGTACATATATCAGTCATGGGGCTTGACCTGTGGCTTGGGCACTGTCTCTCAGCTCTTCAGCTCATGGTAAGTGCTCTACCACTTGAGCCACAGCGCCACTTCTGGTTTTCTGGTGGTGAATTGGCGATAAGAGTCTCACGGACTTTTCTGCCGGGGCTGGCTTTGAACTGTGATCCTCAGATCTTAGCCTCCTGAATAGGTAGGATTGCAGCCATGAGCCACCAGCGCCCAGCTATCTGTACTACTTTTAGGAACCCCTATGTAGTATTTTGTAGTGGTTATACTAATCTACAATCCCACTAACAATGTACAAAAATCTTATTTCCTTCTTCTGCATTTCTATCATCAATAGTTATTATTCTTCATTTTAATAAAATCACTTTTAATGGGGCAGGGTGAGTATCTCACTGTATTTTCTTATACAGGAAGATCTTTTTATTTGTATTTTATATATAGAGAGATATTTTATTTACATTTCTGATGGTTAGTGATATTTTACACTTTTCTTAGTATTTTCCTTACTATAGCCCATGTTTTCATACTTAGCTTACATTTTCTCTTATTTGAGTAAGAATTAGTGTTTTATTTATTTGCTTATTTATTTATTTGGTACAAAGAATTGAACTCAGAGCTTGAACTTTCTAGGCAAATATCCTACAACTTGTACTAAAATAACAATTCTTTAGTTTTATTTTATGTTCTCAACTATGGGTCTTGTTAATTCTGTCAGGGTTGTCTTTTTTATTTTAATTCTCCTAACTCTGTTTCCCAAGTGTCTTGGCATACAAGCATGTGTACTCTGCCTGTCTTTCTTTCTTGGAATCTTTTATGATCCATTGGTTCTTCAAAAGTAGGTTGTTTAATTTCCAATTATTTGTATATTTTTATGGTTTTCACTTTTCATGCAACTCTAGTTTTTATGCACTGTGGTCCAAAAATACATTCAATAAGATGTCAAGTTGAACAATTATTGATAGTTATTGACCTATCATGTGAACTGTTTAAGAAAGTGTCCTACAGGCTGATGAGAATATGTATACTTTTTAGCCATTGGTTGGAATATTGTGTACATGTGTTTGGTCCAGTGATTCTAGGGTGCATTTAATTCTGCTGTTTCCCTGTTGGGTTTATGTCTATGTGACATGCTATTGACTGAGAGTAGGAGAATGTATAATAATTGCATTAGAGTCTATAAGTACCTTCAGGTTGTTTAATATTTACTTTATATGAGTAGGTGATCCAATATATTCTAAGAAATTTTTGTGTAATTATATCCATACCATTATAATTCCTACTTGGCATACTGATACATCTATCTCTCTATCTATCTATCTATATACAGAGAGAGATTTCTTATCTCTTTTTATTGTTTCTTTTTGAAAGATCATTCTACCTGTTATAACTAGGCTCATTCTACTTTCTTTTAGATCTGTTTGCACAGATGAAGTCTGCCCCTTCCCCTTCAGTCTGTCTGTCATTAAGAGGTAGAAGTTCATTTCTTGTAAGTTTATAATCAATGTAAAAAAATAAAAAAATTACTAGAGAAAAAATTTCAGTTAGGTACCCAATTCAAATACAGAGCTGTGAGTTGTAATGATTGTGAGCATTATTTTATTACTCAGGTTTCTCTTGGTAATGGACTCAAAAGGACATCAACAAATACACATACAAACATGCATATTTATTATGGGCTCAGACTTGTGAGTATAGAGGCTGTTGGTTAGAAAACAGGTTAAATGGGTGAAAAATCAATTTGAGATAGAGGAAACAATATGTAACTATTATAAAATTGAAAGAAGAAAGGGCCAAGAATCAGGTCCACATAAGTAACCCTATGTATAAAGTGAGTTAAAGAAAGAGGGAGGGGAAAGAGAAGGAAGAGAATGAGGAAAGAAAGAAAGAAAGAAAGAAAGAAAGAAAGAAAGAAAGAAAGAAAGAAAGAAAGAAAGAAAGAAAGAAAGAAAGAAAGAAAGAAAGAAAGAAAGAAAGAAAGAAAGAAAAATGGAGAAGAAAAAGAGAAAGATTTAGTCTAGTCTTTCTCTACTTCCTGTACCATTTGAGTGAGTCCTCACTAATGGAATGATTACTTCTTACATGGAGGAGGCCTTGTCTTCATTACTAAGTCTGCTGCTTCAGATATCAGAACCTTGGGAACACCCTTGCAGACACACAAATAAAAATATGTGAATGAATATTTGTATATTTGTAAATATACTCCAATTAATACATAAAGTTAACCACCACTCTAAGCCATACTAAATTCCATTCTGGGAAATTCATGAACTACACTCATATCGGTGATCAGGAGGGAGGCTTCTATGAATGTCTTCTGTTCATGACTTTCTTCACGCACTTGTTTTACAGACATTTCTTCTGACGTGGTAAAACAAAACTCAGTGAAATTAGTGAACATTACCACTACTGTGAATTAGGGTTTTACCAAACTACCTGCAAGATACTTTTATCCATTATATTTTAGTTATGTGTTTTTTGGCCTGAAGATTTCTACTTTTTTTTAGGACAAGAGATGTTGCAGAGACAAGAGAATCTCATCAGGAACTTACAGAGAAAATCTGAGAGAGAACAAAATCCAGAAATTCTGTGCCCAAATTTTAAGCTTATCATTTTAATTTTGCCTCCCCCAAATAAATGCATTATGGACTTTGAAGAATGCACTCTTCACCTCCTTGTTCCTCAGGCTGTAGACCAGAGGGTTCAGCATGGGGATGACCATCGTGTAAAACACAGATGCGATTTTGTCAGTGTCCATGGAGTGACTAGAGCTGGGCTGTAAGTACATGAAGATAACAGTGCCGTAGAAAATAGAGACTGCAGTGAAGTGGGAGGCACAGGTGGACACAGCCTTCCGGTGTCCTGCTGCAGAGTGCATCTTCAGGATGGTGATAAAAATGAACAGGTAGGATATCCAGATAACTATGAGTGCGAAAAATATATTAAAGCTTACCACGCAAACAAGAAGCAGCTCATTCACACGTCTGTCTGAGCAAGAGAGAACCATGACTGCTGGAATGTCACAGAAAAAGTGATGGACCACGTTGTCCTGACAGAAGGACAGACTGAAGGCATCCCCAGTGTAGATGGAGGCATTCAGGAAGCCAATGACGTAACACCCGACGATCAGCCAACCACACACACTGGCTGTCATGACGGTAGAGTAGTGCAGGGGTTTACACACAGCTGCGTAGCGATCATAGGCCATCGAGGCCAAGAGGCAATTTTCTGCACTGGCAAAGGCAGCAAAGCAAAACATCTGGGCAGCACAAGCACTGGAGGAAAGGACATTGTCTCCTACAAGGAGACCAGCCATGACTGTGGGAGTGACAGCTGAGGAATAACATAAATCCACTAGAGACAGATTACCAAGAAAAAAGTACATGGGGGTATGAAGTTGAGAATCCAAGAGGATCAGGAGGACCATCCCCATGTTTCCAGCCAGTGTGATGATGTAGATGATGAGGAAGGTGATGAAGAGGGGGACCTGCAGGTCTGGGTCATTGGTCAGCCCCAGCAGGATGAACTCAGTCACTTCTGTTCTGTTCTCCATTAACCTTATCCGGGGATCAATAGACCACTGTCAATGAAAAAGAGAAACACTGATAAGGAGATTCAATTTAAATTCTGACACCTAAGTACGGCAAGTATTTCAACATTAATCACTATCAAGTTATTCCAAGGTCTTTGGGAAATCCTGAGCTTCAGAATCAAATTCAATAAATAACCCATATTCAGGTGGACTTATTGACAAAACTAAGGACTCTTTAGAGATCTTGCACACAATTTACATTTGTTGCACATTTCAAAATTGGATATAAGCAGTTTGGCTTAATATGTTGGTTAAGTTAACTTCTGTGAATGAACTATGCCACCGTTACTTCTCCTGACCTCACTAAAGGCCACTAATTGGTGTGGTGTTCACCTATAAGAAACAGACAGACACAGTTTCATTGTAAATTCACAACGAAACAACATGAGGCATTTGATCAGTTCTTACTTTCTTTTAAGTTACTAAACAAAAAGACAGTTCTCTATTCTGGACTTTAAACAACTCTGAGTAGCTACTCAGAAGAGGATGAGTCTAAAGTGAATTAAAATGTAATGAAATATCAAGAGCTTATAACTCCTTATTATATTCTTTGGTCAAACAGCATTTGGAGTTTCATTTTGAATAAAGAGAAAAAGTGCTACTTTAATCTTTTTCAATATACATTCAGTTCCCAATGTTAGTCAAACAAACAAGCAAACACTTGGGAAATGGAATTGAATGTTTAATTCAATGATGAAAGTGTTCACAAAGAACTAACAAGCTCTTAATTTCATTGTGCCGTTTTCTACTCTATCTCTTAAGTGTCATCACTAGCACACCTATGCATGTTTATAATGTTGTGTTCAATGCATGCACTTTGATCCTGCTGAAGATGAAGTAGGTTCTTGGATCATTATAGATACTGCACACATAGTACACATAATAGTGCGAACATTGTTTGGTGGGGAAAGTTGATTCTGTGAATGCAATTCTCAGTGAAAATATAAGATTTCACAGATGTGGAATTTAGGTTCCTTGGCAACAATAAAATTTATATCCCAGACTCATTTCAATCTTCTTTTTAGAAATATTTTCTTTACAAATAACTCATACTTGCTATAGGCAACTCACTACTGCTTCATGAACGACCCTCTTAACTTTGCGAAAGGATAGTTAATATAGAAGTATGATTCTGAAATAATAAAATCAACTGTAGAGTGATGTGTAAATTCTATTACAGGAGTTCTCTCTCTGTTAATGGCTGAAATGATACAATCAATCAAAAGCAAGGAAAAATGGATACCAATATGAATCAAGTCTTAAATCTACCATCAGTTCATTCTATGCTTGTGGATGATTCACTTACCTGCTCATATATGAGATTACTCACATATTGTGAATGTAAACATCAAGGAATTCAGGTCTGAAAAGCAACTTGAGAAGTGTTTATTGCTTAACAGTAAATCCCAGGAAGTGAATATGATGATACTCCACATATACATTTCTACAAATGTAACAGTGAAACCTAGTGTTTGATATAATAGCAAAAAATTTCAGTCCGTGTGATTTTTATCTTTGAAACTTTTTTCCTGATCATGATGAAAAGCTCATAAGCAAACTACCGAGGTAAACTGGAAACTCATCTACAACCCATTGGTTTTCACTCAGGTGACTGCATGGTTGATGTCCAGATGTGTGACAGGCAGTGTACTGTTGACTCACGTTAGGGTTTCAGAGGCTAATACATGGAGCTCTGGAGAGAGTCGCAGAGACTTGGAGAGCTCCAGACTGCCCCTTGAGAGTATCTGAAACTTCCCATCCTGTTTTCTTAGGGCAGAAGCAATTAACTTCCCTATAGGGATCATGCTAGTTATAACATTTTAAAAATCTTTGTTATTTAGAACTGATACATTTTTTTAAAAATCCATTAAAATTGTGCATAATGATGAGTATCATGAGATGTTTCTTTTTTAAAAAATACATTTTTATTGTAAAAATATTGTACAGAGGGGTTACAGTAACATGAGCAAAGTAATGAGTACGTTTCCTATCAAGCAGTTACCTCCTCCTTTGTTTTTCCCCTACCATCCTTTCCTTCCCACCTCCACAACTACATTCCCCCCCCCCACCTAAATTGTAAAGTTCGTTTTTCAACATATTGTCTTGTGTATCTCATTGTTACAATGGGTCAACCTGTATCCCTGTTTAAGCATTTTGTTTTTTCCCTTCCCCTCCCCAAATTAGAGAAGTTTATATACAAGATGCAGGGCACCAACATCAAATACAGTGAAAATGGGTTATACCGTGGGGGACGAACATACAAAGAAACAAAAACATCAAATGATACATTATGAATATGTTAGAAACAATAGCAAGAAAAACCACTGTGTCCCTATCTAGGGGTTCATTTCTGTTAGCATCATCTTATCTAGTTATCTGTAAATAGCTTTTGACCTTTTCTGCTTTTTTGCCATGATATGTTTTGATGCAGGTACACATTGTGTCCAATTTGGGTTGAAATCATTTTTCACTTCTCAATGATAAAATCTTTCAAAGTCCTTTTCCTCTAGCTTTGAAATCTATCAAGAATGGCTGGGAAGGTGGCTCAGTGGTAGAGCGCTTGCCTTGCATGCATGAGGCCCTGGGTTCGATTCCTCAGCACCACATAAGCAAAAAGTAATCTATCAAGAAAGTGGGTGACCATTCATTTCTCCACATTCTCTAGGAAAGGAAGTTTAGTATCAGGATGGTTGCCTCATATTGTGAGGTTGAGTCATAGTTTTTACAAGACTAAATGTGGTTGAGAGGTCTAGAATGCCTAGTTGAGAAAGGGTGGACCTGTGATGATTAATGATGAAGGGTAATTATAGTAGGTTTCTTTATAAAATTATAGTTGGAATTTCTTTAAGTAGTTGCACAAAGGGGTTACCATTCCACAAATCAGTTTATGAGTACACTGCATCTTGACCATTATCACCCCTTTTATCATCTCCCTCATCCCACCCAATGCAACCGATCCTCCCAATTTTCCTCATCTCTACAGGATATTCATTGACTATTAGCATGGCATTCTCCACTCCACCTCTCTCTAGTCATTCCTTTGGTAATTGGGAGGCAATTGCAACTTTACGCCATCAGTCAATGGTGTCACTTGTGAACTGTCCCAATCAGACACATGAAGCAAAATAGGACTCAGAAGAAAGTAGGTGAGGGGGTTCAGTAGTATTATACAACTATTTATTATTATACAACTACTGGGAATAGGGAGTCTTAAAACGAAGGGTATTGGGGCTGGGAAGGTGGCTCAGTGGTAGAGCGCTTGCCTTGCATGCATGAGGCCCTGGGTTCGATTCCTCAGCACCACATAAGCAGAAAAGGCTGGAAGTGGCGCTGTGGCTCAAGTGGTAGAGCGCTTGTCTTCAGCTGAAGAGCTGAGGGACAGCGCCCAGGCCCAGAGTTCAGGCCCCATGACCTAAGGGTATTGATTCTTTTACTATTCTGGAAAACACAACTACGAAATCGTCTCGCTGAATGGAAATCCGTGTGTTATCGGAACCATTGACTTGTCATAGTCTCAGAGGAACACTTTATGTCCCTTCCAACCTCTGTGGCTTGTGATGACCTCACTTTAGAGTTGATTTGACAGTCGCTTTGCCTACTCTACTTTTGTCCACTTTATAAGGACTCATGGAGTTGATCTGAAGACAGACAGGGATGATCACAAGTATTTCTCGTGCTTAAGATCCTTCACCTAGTCATACCTTCCTAGTTGCTCTAGGCTACCCAGAGGAATATTAAAAGATTTCAAAATTCACCAAAAGAATCTTTTGGGTGACATACTGCCAGCCATAGTGCAGCATAGTGATGCTATTTTACAGCATTTTAAGATATTTCTCTGACTCCAAAACATTCCCACACTAACCAAGACAATAGTTAGCAATACGTTCAATGGGAGAAATTTTTAGCAACATACAGAAGTGAGTAAGCATTCTCTACAGTAAATAAACTCTTATATATCCACGACTGTTTCACAAGTACCAGCATAACCATCTTACATTCACACCCAAGGATCTTGATGTCTCCTGTTGCATGGTGATTACTGATGACACATAGAGCCACAGTCCTGTGGTTACATTTTGTGTAATCTCTGGGGATCATAATTAAATGCGTAGATATACTCCATTGTATCATCTGTACCTTATGTTTAATTGTGACAAATACTGCCATGTATGTTCAACATGGAAATTGGAAATCTTTTCAGTTTCTTGTATAGTTCCAGTACATAAAGTAATTTTAAACTACAGTCAAATGATACCTCTAAGTACTAGCATACTGAATTTCGGTTATGATTTTCTAAGTAGTATTTATTTGATGGTGCACCTGCCATTTTAGGAGACATTACTTCTAAGGGAATGTGTGACATGACCCACTGTATGGTGAGGATTTTTTTTTCCCCAGAAGGTCATTTTGTCTACATTAGGGAGTACGAGAATTGAGAGAAGCTATAAGAGGAAATTTTTAAAAGAATAAAATTATTAGGGTACTTTTCTAGCAGATTTCTAGAACCTGTATCTCCTTCAATACATGTTACAATCATGAATGACACAAAAGTCAATATGTTCATGCAACTGAAGCCAAAGCTTAATGATTGAATTCACTCATTTCACAAATCTACTGTGAAAGACATCTATTTGGGAAATAATTATAATATTAGTAAAAAGAAAACAAATGAAGTTATTGAGTTTAAAATTTACTTGGGAAGATAAATAAATAAAAAAACAAATGCATAGTAGAGATGGATTTGCAGGTGTGAGTCTATAAAGGAGATCAAAGAAGGACTTTGTGACAGAATAACACTTCTCCAAAGACTTGGCTGGACTTAGGGCATTTCTTACAGGGAAACACCAGTAAAACGTGGTAAGTATAGTCAGATTGTAAAGAAATGATATAGAAATCAGAGGGATTGGACTAAAGGACAAGGCTAGAAAAGTGACAACAAAGAGTTATACTTAATAAAGTATAAA